CTGGCCAATGAGCGGGCGGCGCTCGGTCCGGGGGTGGCAGCCGTTGGGGTCCGTGAGGCGAGGGGAGCCCGAGCGAGTCCGGTGAAAGGAAGGGGCGAGAGCGCCATTCCCGCCTCTAGTGCGGGCCTCCCCTCCGGCACCTCCCGGCGCCGCCCTGTGGCCGCTCTCCTCAGCCCCCAGCTCCGGCCCGTGCGGCGGCGCGTTCCCGCCCGCGCTGCTTAGGCATTAGCGAAAGCAGCCAAGTATGGGGCTGCGAGGTTAAAAACACGAAAGTTTTTAAGCCACGGCGAGCGCAAGACATTAACGTTCTTGCACCCAGAAGCGCCTTGGTTTGGGCCGCGGACTCCTTAGAAAAGTTACTCGGGATGAGACTCGGAGGCAGGCTCGAAGGCTGAAGCGGCGCTGCCCGACACTGCTCGAAGCTGCCCGTTTTACAGAGTGAAACACACAGACCTGGCGGTCGGGAAGGCGAGCAGGCTGCTGCCAAAGCGCTGCCAGCTTTAGAGGGGTTAGAAATACCGCTCTTTCCTTCCCCCCGTAGGATAGCATTAGTGCCGCACAGAGCAGCCTGGCCCGTTTTCACAACTGAAGAAGCAAAAGGTAACGGAGAAGAGGTACTGCCATGAGAAGAAAAAAGGTGCTGTTCTTTCCCACAGGGAAAAAAAAAAGAAACGCCTTAAAAGAAAGACATGGTGATAAAAAATAATACACAGCTGTGAGGTCCACATTGTTGCCGTGTTTTCACAGCATGAACCTGCCCTGACCGCAAGTTCATTTAATGAATTACAGGGTTCTGCTGGTGAGGTGCTCAGTAGAAACTGGAAACAGTGTCTTAAGTACGAGATAGCCTGGAAAGGCTTACAAGTACACTTAGGCTGGGGTACCAGACAATGGAATTCTCTCTAGTGCATTTATTGGTATTTTTAACTGCTTTTTCTACATTAGTTTCAATAATTTGTATCTACAATCTTATGTTTTCTCTTTTTCCTTTTTCCATAGCTCCAGATGTAATATATTTCTCGTCAGGTCTTTGAGGTTAGGTAAGGACTCTCTGTGGTACTTTCTATTCCATGTAAGATGCTTGCAAGACTGAATTTTCTGCAATAGTAAATGAAATAAGGGTTGTTTAAGGCTATTTTCTTTACATGGAAATCAATGATTTTTTGGAAAAAAGAAGTTTTTGCCTACATTGTGCTCTACTCTTTTCACTTGCATTCAACTCCTAATTAAATAAAGCACTCCATTCTTGTATAAAAGCAACACTGAAGTAGAAATTCTTCAGGGATGACATACTGTGTATAGCGTCTTAACACTACTATTTTTACTCAAACTTCCATTACAGGCCAACCTTACACAAATTTTTATATGGAGTCTGTGTGAGCCTATGTGTGGCTTTAGCTAAGGTATCTCAGGCAACAGAAGCAGGATAGTGGGCTATCCAGTGCCAAGAATCCTTCAATACACACACTTCTTTTAAAGCCCATCCTTTGCAAGTCTGTCTCACGAGGTGCATCGAGGAGGCAAACATGACTAGAAACTGAAGTCTCACTGTCAGCCCTCCATTTCAGATTGCTTACGTACCTTTGATAACATTATAAATAGTTTTATTTGCCCCTTAGTTCTCATTAGTCGCAATTAGAGCCTTTGCAAGCACAGAAAATAACCTCCTTCTTCCCAGTAAAAATATCTACTGCATATGCTTTATCAGTTCTGGTATTGTTTCTTATAGCTTTTAATAAGATTGATCTGGCAAATTTCACTGTATAAAATGCTAGCTTTAATATAGATACTTTTGCCTCATATACTTTTACAATATTTTATTACAATAAATTCTAATTGCTGGTTTTAACATTTTGGGTTATATTAAATGCTTAGGCTACAGTGACATCTTGTGGCTTTTTAACTTTTGAACTTTAATCTTGTACTGCTGTTGCATCATTTTAAGACAATATCCTTATTAATAATTATGACTTTCTGAGGCCAACTTTGTGTTAAACTTTTATTAGTTCTTAGTGTTTATTCAACCAATTTTTAAAGCATGACTTTAGATATTTTGGAATCCTATGGCTTGGATGAACACTGATTTGTATAGAACATTCAGTATGGATGATGAATCCATAGATATTTCAAGTTATTGCTAAATGATACCAAGATAATCTCTTAAATCATCATGGGCATATTATTTTCTTAAAAATATAAATTAAATTCTTATTAGAGTGCATTAGAGTCAAAGAATCTTGAGACACTTCTACAACCATCAAGGGATAATTCCTAATTGAATTTTCTCCAGTGAAATAAGTAATAGCTTGATTTTGAAGCTGTGGAAAATAAAACAGACTAATAATGCTGTTTTTTTTTTACTGCTGCTGTGAAAAAGGAGTGTCTACATTAGCACTGAAGATCCTACTTAGTAGCCCTTTTTTTTGCACTGCTGATCTGTTTCTGACATAAAAATATCCCTTAAAAACATGTATTTTACATGTTACCTAAGACAATGTGTTATACAGCGCCCAACTGGAATCTGTTATCCTACAAGCCGAAGGCAAAGGTGTTACATATAAGAAGTTACTGACCTTAAACAAAAGTTACTGACCAAAACCAAAAGCCAAAAATAACCCCACACAACTCCACCATCACAAAAAATGGGAGAAAAAAAAAATCTTTTGATTTCTAAACACGAGTTGAGTCTGGGCAAGAACTGCAGTCTGACGTTTTAATCTTCTTTGATATCCAAGCCTAAGAGCTCAAGGCTGTGTTTTTTGAGGGCTTTGTTCCCGCTCTGTGTGGGCCTTATATAAGTTTAAGTGAATATACATGCCCACAAGTAGGTTTATATATATCTATATCTATATATATATATATATCTTAGTGCTGGTCATGAGAACATAATTTAGACATCTAACACGGGAAAACTTTGTCAATAATCTGAAAATAAGTGCAAAACAAATCTGTTTATGCATTTTATTTGACAATGGTACAAATTAACTTTACCAGCATAATAAAAACTTGTTCTATTAATTCCTTGACAGATACAGAAAAGCAACCCTTTCCCCCCATCCCCGCAAAGAAAATCCACCCCAAATAAACAACCCAGGACTAAGATTTGGCTGAGATGACAATTCATGCCACATTTTTAAAGCAGGTAAACAACATCTGTGAGTCTTCACAATTTTAGTTGATACTGCACAGAACAGAAATTACATAAGTCCAGTAAGTAAATGAAAGGCAATAAGCTACCACTAGGAAATTTGCATTTCTGAAAAGACCGTAGATCTATTTGTATACTACTTATGATTACGCCACAATAATTAAATCTAGTTTTCACTATCACAACAAAATTTAGCAGCTTTTACACTACTACGTTAAGTTTTTGACCCTTAAGTCTTACAATAGTACTAGGAAGACTTCACTGAATGTAAAACAAATCCTCCAATACTGAAAAAAACAAGGCAAGGCAAAATAGCCCCTCTTCTCACCAAGTTAAAGACTCTACAGCCAGAATCAGCCCAGCTGTAAAGAACTTCATACATTTTTCACATAGCCTTTTTGTTCAACTAGCCTCTTAAAAAGATAAATACCATTTGTGTACTAGAAATAAGCTGTTACTGATGGCCCACGGATTCCTTTGCTCTGGTATGGAGAATTCATTAAAAGCCAACACTAACATCTTCTGTAGATGCCAGACTTGAATCTACTCTGTGATCCAGCAAAATTACTGCCTTTGGTTTATTTCCTCTCCACATCACAAAACAAATTCTGTAACTGCAATGGAAATGGTCTTTGTCCTGTCTGTATTAGTACAATGTTTCCAGGCCACGCTGAGTCCCAAAAAAAAGGCTATTAACAACTCTGTTTCCTGCTATATATAAGGTCAAAGACTGATAGTAGTTAGGCCCTGACTAATACCACTGTACCTTAAAATACCTCTTATAATGTTTTACCCACTCACTTCATGGCAATTTAAATCCATTGTCATAGCCACCAAAAGCTGAGATGAAAAGAACCATAAAGCGCATGAATATTCCATTGAAAGAGAAGTTTTAAAAAAAATAATAGACCTATAATATTACAAAATATACACTCTGGAGTAAATGTAAAACAGCTTGCTCCTACACGGAGTTGTAAACAAGACATTTTTAAAACTGAGGATCTTTCGGGCACATTTTGTAACAATGTACATGCAAAATACCAAAACAAAACTAAATACTAAAGGGAGTGTTAATAAGGAACATGGCACCTATTTCTTTTGGCTGCATATGTAAGAATCATATTTCATGTAGTCATTTTTCTTACATTGCCAGCAACTAGGTTTTACCTTGCAATTGACAAGCATCATTTCAGCAACTCCAGCAAAAAAAAGCTGTATCAGAGATCATTATCCGCTACCTAAGTGATTGCACATGTTGTAGGCAACGGTTTTAGGACAGAGATTCAGGTGTGCTCCTTTTCTTCTGGCTTGCTTTCATATCAGCTTCAGGAACTTCTCAGAATACAGAATAATATCTTATATACAGACTTCAAAGGGGGTTTGTATAGGGGTCTAGAAGCCTAGCCAGCAGCTTGCTGTAGCCCTGCTATAGGTTCATGGGAAATGGGGAGAGATGCAAGGAGGGGAAAAGGAAGCAGATGTCTCAACATGCAAATATCAAAAATATGCCCAGACATCATATCGCTAGATACGTATATTACAAAAAAAATATACATATGTGTATAAGAAAGGTAAATCAAAGCTCCTGCTGATGGGTAGGAGTGCATTTTTGTGTGCAAGTTTCTGAAGAGCTGGCCTGTAATTAACTGTAAAAAGCTTCTTGAGTTTTTAAGGAATGAGGATGATTTTATTACACCTAAACACTAGCATATAGTCTTTACAGAATTAGTAAGGAAGGAGCAAATGCATCAAAAATGGGGAAAAAAAAAAAAAAAACAACACAGAGACTATGAATATGGATGACCAAAATGCAGTAATCTACACTTATCTCCTTGCACGTAGTACAATTCACAGAGTATTGTTTAACATCTGCCTTCTTAAGCAGATGAGCTTACATTTTATTTTTGTGATTGGCATAATTAGGAAAACCAAACTGAGAAATCATAATATTAGAATATTTTAAGGGCATGCCATCATAAATATTAACCAGCTTGTTTACACAGTAAGATCTCTGCAACAAATGCTCTGCTCTGTGCCACATTCCAGAATAGCCACTGTTAGTGTCTTTTTCTAAATTTCTTATATCAACAGGTTTTACAAACACTCCTGAAGACTTTCCAGTATTCTTTGCTACTAAAAAATTCATGGCAATATCATCACAATTCTGAGTTTCATCTATTAAGGCATAAACGGCTTCTGGCTGTTTCTGGAAGTCCTCCAGGTAGCCACTGTGGAAAAACGCTGCGCCAATGAGAACCATAGAGTACTGGTCTCCCTTTCCAGACCCAGGGCTCTGCAACTCAAAGCTGCCGTACGTGTATACACCCGAAGGAGTAGAAATGTGCTTTCTAGGAACAAATCCCACTATCTGCTCTGGAAATTGCTGAAAGAAAAAACAAATGATCAAAACAATCAAATGGCTTCCTGAGAAAGACATCTGCCTTTTTTTTCCCCCCCCCTGAAGTGACAAAAGCACAAAATCATGGCCAAGAAAGAAGCAGAGAGTAAAACTGCCAACCCATGCTCCTTTTGTCTGCGTAAGAGTTGCACTTTCAACACAGGTGTACAAAACAGCTACCATAATGCTTTGTTCCTCTTGATGTAGCGCTAAGAAACATCTACCCAAAATATGAAGCTGTAAATTTGGTACTCAAAATAAATCTACAGACAATCTTTAATAGGCAGAGAGAGACAGAAAAAATGTTTTGCAGCCTACTAATTGATTTAAATACATTCAGTAGTCAACAGCTTCAGTGTTCAGGTGTAAGAATTTGAAGAACAATTTGAAAGATTACAGATAAAACTTTCACTGAAGAAAACTTCTGCAATTTTTACTATTTAATGCTTCATCTTAGTATTCAACTTTACAATTAGAACACCAATAGCACTACACTTCAAAACCAATGTTATGATACTGCATTGCTTTTTAGAATTATAATCATTCATCTCAATTATATCTTGTAAACATTACCTGCGAAGGTTAAAAAAAAAAAAATTACCTGCCAAACAGAGAAGGCAAAAGCAAGGTCATGGGCACTGACTAGTGTATCATCATCCATCATTAAAACAGCTGGAGAAAGGAAGGAGGGAAGGAAAAGAAGTACTTGTCAGACAGCAAATATCCAAGTCCATAATGCAGTACGTTGCTTGACAGGTTAGCTGGAAACTTCTATAACCATTAGGCTGAACTGCAGAACTGAATCATCATTCCTTGAAAATAGACTGAGAAAACATACTTAGATATCGAAGTTAAAGCAGGTTTCAGTTTTGTGATAACCGAAACCAAATGCAAATTTTAGAGTACTTGCCATGCTATAACAAACTCATCTCAGGATGTTCTGATCATGTATAGTATAGTTGGCAACTGTGTGATGGAAAACTGGGGTGGAGGGATGCCTGGCAAAGAAACTTAAAATTTCACTAACTTAAGCCAGCCTACAATCTTTTTTTTTAACCAAATTAAATCGAAATTTACACACTAACTTTGTGTTGAATAGAACTACAATAAAAAAAATCAGATACCATTCTTTAGTGTTTGAGATTAGTTATACATAAGGATTTTCAGTATCAGATCTTACAAGATCTATTTATACTATTTACAAGACAATACAATTAACTACATCAGAAAGCATCTTTGCCCTAGATTTTAGGGCAAAAGATTCTGTCAGGTAAGGGAGAAGGGAAGCTATTCTTAGATCAGAATTCCAAGTGTGGACAGAATTTTAAGTTTATGGTCTGCATAATCATATTGAGGGCAACAAAACACTGGGAGAGTTGAAGTTTCTAGTGTTCCCCTAGAAGCCCTGGGTTGAGTGGCATTGTGTGTTAAGTAGAAGGCACTGACATGGAAGCTTTACTGTCACTCAGCAGATTTAAGGCCAAGTTTGTAATACCTGCAGGTTTTGTCACTTGAAACAAACAGCACTCATTGCTGTGCTTCTCCTGGACAAAGCTTAGGAAGAATATTTACATGTACAGCCCAAAGACTGGAGAAAATAACTCCTGACAGGATTTCAGTTAGTTCAGTTAGAAAGCCAAACACCCAGAGAAGGGAATCTGTCTGGGAAGCAGGACATTCTTGTGAACCTTGTCCGAAAGTTCACGGACTAAATCAAATCTTTATAAAATTAGGACAGCAACTGGACACATACATGGAGATTTAATTTCAGCTCACAGTACAAGCTGAAGAGCGGCTGAACTCCTTATGCTCCACATAAAGCGGCCATGGCTGCAAAGGTCCAGGAAATATATTCAAGAGTCCTCTTTCCTTCCATACCCTTTATTGTCAGTCTACAGTCACCTGCTGGGTGCTATACATTTAGGGTCCGTTACCATAACAAAGGTTTCTTTCATATATATATATACACATATATACATATGTATATATAAGTTGAGTATCTGTTGGGCCCCTTGAATCTACTTACCTATGCATTTTTTTCCCCATAATATAACTCAAAGCATCCCTCTTTTAGTACACAGACTTCAAGTGCAAAAATGCTAGTAGCAACATGAGCTGTTCGTTACCTTTTGTTTCCAGCTCAGGAAAATTCTGGAGTCGGTTCCTCATGCGATTTACTGTTTGAACTTTAAAGACAACCGGGACAGGATGAGGCCCCAGGGAATTCCACGTGTCCTCTGGTATCTTCTCGCCAACGTTGTTCCAGACAACAATTACCTTGTGCAGATGGGGAATGGCTTGGTAGTGATTTAACAGTTTTAGCAGCAAGTCAGTCCTGTTGTAAGTCTGCATAATGAGAGTAAATGCATCCAAGGCAGGCTGACTCAGGGCTTTTGGCTCCCTTCTCAAATTGGGCATTTTGTCATCTTTGATACTGGGAAGCAAAGCTGTCAAAGCACCCGCTACGAGAAGCAAGACGATGATCACCACAGAAGTGAAGCGAAGCAGGCGGATTCCCATAACTCTCCCTGGAAGCTTACAGAAGTGAAAATACCTTAACAAGAGGAGATGAAAAAATATTGGTCCCATGTATATTTACTCTTCCTCAAAACACCCACCGTATTAAGCAGACTTCAAGTAAATGAGTGAATAAATAAGGAGGATATTAGGACTTGGGCCAGTTACTATCAGCTATCAAGAGAGATACTTCTGGTACTTCGTTTCTAGAGTTCATTTGATTTTCACATCCAGAACTACTTTGATTAACTTTGAATTTCACTGTTCTATAAAAATAAATTTAGAGTTATCCTTTAATTCTAAATTGTGTCTTTTTTTTCCATTTTCTCAATACTGCATTTTTAACTAAACATTCATGTCTCTCACCAAACCCCTTTTGCTGAAATTAGAAAACAAAATTGTACAGAGCCTAACTTCAGTATTTTCAGCATTGCAGAGCTCTGCAGAACAGTATTTTCAGCATTGCAGAGCTCTGCTTTAGCACAAGCTTTGTTTCTGCTCTAAAAACAAGAGAGACACACGGTTGCTCTCTTCTTAAGAGCCGTGGCAGAAGAGGCAGTAAAATGCTTCTACTCTTTTCTACTGCTCAGGCTCCATACACAGAAGGAAAAATATCCATCATTGGTTTGTTGGACATTTTGTCTACAATTTTTGTATCTGCTTGCTGATGCCTACTGAATGTGGAAAATACTATCCTGATAAATGCTATAACATGATGCTAGGGGCTATCTATCAGCTGACTCAGCAACAGTCTCAGCACAAAGAGGGAGGCTTTGGATCCTCACAGTTTTGGGCCTGAGTAGGGGCCATCACAAAGGCAACGCTGGCAGCTGTGACTCTTCCAAGTAGCATTACCAGTTCTTCAGAGCCTCATAAATTGTAAACTTAGCAGCATCCAGCAGCTTAGTTTTCTCCTCAAATGATGCATCATGTGCACTTGTTCCTCAGCGTTTCTCCCAAGATTGGTATGAATCAGACACAAGATCAAAATTCTAAGCTTACTCATCAACAAATATTATTCATGCCACTCCATAACTGCATTTTAGGATTTCAGTAGGAAACACTGCTTAAATCAAGTGATCCAGGCCAGTCTCATTAATCAAAATTCTTGAGCGAGTGTTTGAGTTTTTCATGGCAGTTTTGATTACTCACAGTGCATATACCATGCTTGAAAATATGAATGTAAATCATTTTAGTCTAAAAGGCCTCAGCTTACCTCATTGTTGCCAGGCACGATTGCTTTTCCTTGCAGTTGTTGGTGATATTTTGATCTGTAGGAAATCAAATGGACTTTATTATTGAAGATCGACAGTCATCAAGCAGGGTACCCACCAGCCCCTTGCAGATACCCATCCTTCTCAGTCCCTGGCAGACATATGTGCCCTTGGCAGTTATGCCCTCCTGCTCCCTCTTGCCCCGTTGAATAATTGTCTCTGTCTTTCAATGAACTCTCCAGAAATACGCTATTAAAGTAGTCTGTTATTTCTCACTAAATTGCTGGTTTGTATTTTTCCGTGTTCCATCATTATGGCCAACTACTGAGACAAGGAGGTCTCCAGAACCTCAATCCAACTGCCCTAGGCATGACTAAAATACATATCTGGCCATCAGAGCCAAGCAAGCAGTCTCAATAACAATTCCTTCCCCTTCAAACTCTCCATCGACCAAGTTTTCCAGCTGCATTAGAGGCTTTAACACACGGTATTTTAATTTTTCCTATCTTGTCTGTCACTGAGTCAAAAGGGACAAAATAAGAGCACAAGCACAAAATGCAAGAAGGCACAAGATGCAAGACACCTAGGTGTGCAAAATTTCCTAGGTTGCCATAGGGATTTCTCTTCTTTAAATATTCCCTTTCTTCATTCAACTGCCTTTATTTTTGATTTAAGAATGGACCTGTGAAAAAGTAGAAAGTAAGCACTTGAATTTAACAATTGAATATATGACAAATTTCCTAAGAGGGATTTGGTTTAGACTACACAAGCTGTATGCTTAAAAATGCAGGGTCTCCAGTTTTGGACGCCGAGGTCCGAGGCCCCTGCGGGAGCCGGTCCGGGCCAGGCCCTGCCGGTGCCGCTCGGCTCCGCGGGGCCCGCAGAGCTGCGCCACAAGCCCGCACCGCCGCGGTGCCGGCTTTAGGGCGAGCTTTTCGGACGGGGAAACGGGGGGTGTCCTCCCGCGCTGGTAACGCAGAGCCGCTGACACCGGCACGGCGGGGCCGTGTAACGTTTTACATTACCCTGACGACGAGAACAGAGGCGCTGTTCGCGGCGGTGACGGCGCAGCGCGGTGTCCGCACGCTCTGTGCCTGCGCAGGTGCGCACGGGGCTGCCG